GTTCCGACGTTCACCCAGTATCCTTACAGTGAATCCAATTATGAGTCTCTTGTGCTTTGTTTTGTTTTGTTTTGTCGTTTTCTTTTCTTTACAGGTCTAACCTCAGCAAAGCGGTAATCTACAGCCGCTCGATTGTGAGATCCATCGAGCACCAAGCTACAGTTCATTCGAGTCAATAGAGTGACGGCTATAAAGGAGACACTGATGCAGCGAATGTCCATCCGCTCAGGACTTGCTGATGCTGTTTTCTCTCATCTTATTAAATATTTTAATTGGCATTGTCTGTTATAGGAGAAGACGGACTGATTAATAAACGAGGGGAGTCCCAAACAGATGTTCTCCAATCAGACGATGATCAATAGTTGTTGTTATATGTTTAAGTTATTATATTCTATAGTTTGTTAAAAATACCGGTCTATAAAATTGTTTATGTATATATATTGGTTGTTTAAGCTTCGCCAGATCAGTAAATCCTGAAACAAAGATGCCTTATAATGTGCTCATGTGTCTAAAATTCCAGTTATGCCTTCGGCAAGGGGGCATGTCACAACCCAGTGATTTTGGTGCCTCGGCACGATGGAATTTTCCCGCCACATGAGAGCCTCTTGCACAGCAAAGGGTTTTTGTTGCAACAGAAAAACCCCGGTGCAAGAGAGTTCCCGCCATTTGAATGCAAATTTGTGTCCCGCTATTGGTCAGTTATAAATTATTCCTACGTGGCGGCTAGTAATTGGCTTGCTAGCCGTTTAAAATTTCGTGCAACTTCTGCCCAAGTCGGAGAACTTTGAGCACGCTGCAGAGTGCCTCTAAAGAGATCTGACTTGCAGCTGAGCTGATCGATAGACCTATCACCTATCGATTCTTCTCCCCGTCGCCGAGCGCAATCCTCGACGTACCCTTTCCCTGCGGGCTTAATTTGTGGACGGATTAGCTGGTCTGAGCCTTGCCAGCTGGAGCAACTCACATAGTTGTTTAAGCGACCGGACCACCTGCGTCGCGGCTACAAGAGGCATAAGTAAAGTTTTTGCAACCAATAAGCTGTGTCTGCCTCTCCATTCACCAGCCCGCCCAAACAACAGAGTGATTTTTGAATCATCTCGAGTCGGCTCCGGCTGTCCGAGACACCTACCATCTCTCAATCAGAGATAGGTCAGAAAAAAACAACATTTTTCCCCCTGAGAAGTTCTGAATCAAGTATTTTCTTTGTTATCCACCAGGACATTTTAACTTTCAACGTTATTTCACTTTGGCTCTTCCATCTAAATAAAAAGACATTTGAAGTCTAAATGAAAACTGTCATTTCAAAATTGATGCGTTAACGTAAAATGCCATTTGCTTTCAGTTTGTTTAATCAAAAAAATCCTGAATGCCATTTCATTTAGGTCTATAGGAAACCAAAAAATGTAGTTATGACAGTTCCCATGGAAAAAGAAATCAAGATTTTTTTTTGTGTAAGAATTGACATACTCCTGTGGGGGGTGGATATTGATTAAATCACATCTTTTTTGGCAGGAGAATTTTATGCATAAACAATAACATCCAGCTGTAGCTAAGGGAAGTTGTCTTTCCCCTATTGCAAGGCTCTGTGCTTTGACATTCAGCTTTCTACATAAGGGTGTCTAGCTGCAAGCTCCCTTCCAAGCCTGTTGCTGAGATACCTGAACTTGCCACATAGGTACTTAAAACTGCTTTCTCTTCAGCAGGTCTCAAGAGTGCTTCTGCCTGAATAGATACAATGCCACCACTCCCCCTCTGGATCCACCCCTAGATGAAACAGTGTAACTCATTTGCTTCCTTCCATCATTGAGGTCCATGCAAAACAGGAAGGACTTTGATTTTAAGGTCTTAGATGAAGATGCCAAATTTCATAGTCAATGAAACTAAGGGTTTGTCTACATAATAAAATGACATGTTTAAGTTAAATTATTTTAAAACATTTAGTTACAATAGTGCAATTCCCTGCACAAACTCCCTGACTGTGGCTTGAGCGTGGCTTATTTCCACTAACTTAAAATTATTCCTAATAAATTTCATCTAAAATGAATAAACCACTCCAAATTAATGGCCACACAAGAGTTTGCGCCAGTTTCAATCTCCACCTTACATTAAAACAATGCAGCTTTCTCATATTAACAAAGCCCAGTGAAACTCTCTCTCTCTCTACGCAGCTCAGTGGTATAGTGGAGAGGACAGAGGAGCAATGCCACATAGTTTGCAAAGTTGCTGCCTACATAGCACTTGTTCTGTGGACTTGTTGACATCAGAGACGCATCAGCATTTTTTACAGGGTGTATAATTAACTTTTGGAACTCACTATTCAGAAGTGGATGGGACAATTCATGGAGGATAGGTCCATCACTAAGTAGTAATCACGGTAGATAGGGCTGAAGCTGCTGAATCAGAGCTTCTTGAACCTCTGAGTGTTGGAAGCTAAAATGGAAGAGGAGGGGGTATAAAATTCTGGACATGCCTAGGTCACCATCCCTCTTAACTTCCACCCTCTGACACTTTATCAGACAGGAAACCTACCTAGATGGACCTGTGATCTAAACCAGTAAATGGCAATGCTTTTTTTCTAATGTTCTTATCTTTAAAATCTTTGAAATCATTTTCAACACATGAAAAACTTAAGCATTATTGCAGAACTATGTTGAAGTGGCTTCTATTGAAAAGTACAATCTTGCAGTCCCAGGACTATCGTAACAAAATATTCTATACCAATTCTGGAATAGTCATTCCTGTTTCCTTGCACTGGGGTGGAATGCTCCACTGTTTATTTGAAGATAATCCTTCTGGTTTCATTTGTAGATGTCTCCCACTAAGGAATGATCAGACACTATGGCTAAATACAGATGTTCAAAAAGCCCCTGGCAACTGTCAGCAGCAGCTGGGGGGGGGGAGCCCAGACCCCTTCCCCCCACAGCCCTCCCCCTCTGGCCAGGCAACGGCATGCCAACAGGCCAGGAAGGCTGTGGGGAGAGAGGCTCTCTTCTCCTCCCTCCTCCCCATCCAGCTACGGCACACAGCTGTCCATAGGGAGGAGGTGGGGCTGGGGTCAGTGACAGCTGAGGGGGTGGGCTCAGCCCAATGCTTGGGCAAAGCAAACGATCTCTGCCCAAAGCCAGAGCACAGCCTTGCATAACATCACCTGGGATGGCAGAAATCATGCTCTATATTAACCCTCGATGGTTATTAACTTAGGACTCATAGATGTTTGATAAAGTGCTCTAACAGAAAGCGCTTTAGTCTAATACCTCATCCATCAAGGGTCAGCTTAGAGCATGGCCCACCATTTTTAAAGTGCTCTAAGAGCCATAAATGTCTGTTCAATTATGGCTTTAGAGTGCTTTCTGCATGCTTAAAGCATGATAGGTGTAACATCTGTAGCTAGCATATAGTTTTACGCTTGACCATGGTGAACTACTTGAACGTCTCATGCCAAACCAGGGTTTTCTTTATGCCACCATATTGCAGTAACTTGCCCATCCACCCCTGGTTTTGTTAGCGTGTCATAATGCAAAACTCATGAAAGCTTACAGATATGGGCCTTTACTGCCAAAAGAAACCAGTACAGTACTTTGATCCCGTAATGGAGAGCAGCTGAAAAACACAATTCTTCTCTCCACATTTCAAAGGCAGCAGAGCCTAGAAACCAAGCGCCAAGGTTTCTTCTGAACTCCACTTTGTGGTTTCCAGCTATTTTGGTTATGAGCTTCCATGATCTTTGGCAGCCCAGGAGGTACACTGCAGAGGATCTCCATGCCCAGTAGCACATGTGCAGATGGCAGGTAGGCTTAAATAATGGTTGAACAAGGTCCCCCTGCAATTGTCACTGACATTCTAACATTGGAGTTTGAGGGAATGGGGATTCTGGGTAATAATCTCGACTGCATGTGCGGCCAAAGCTGCAGTAGAAGCATTCAGTAAAACTGCCCAGCAGTGCCCAGTGCCATATGCTCCAGGGGACTGTTACTTAGAAATATTTCAGCTCATATTATGACAGAGATTCAATCACCAATGTTGCCTGAGGGGCATAAGACTGGCAGTCTGAATTCCAGCTGAACATATGGCCACTCTCAGAGCTTCAGCTCATTCCTACAGTGCTCATAGTGGTTGCTGTTTCTCCCAAAGATAATGGTTCATAGCTGTGGGCTTACATCCGATTCCTTTCAAAATCCTTTCATTTTCCTCTGAGTCACATGTTTAGATACATCCCCTCCTATTAGCCCCATCCATTGACCCCCTGGTCCCTGGCTGATAATGCAATTACCCATTTTGTTTGCAGCCAGATGAGCACAGCCATGTGGTATATGGTTCTGCAGACCTGTCTGCAGTGTCACATACACATGTAGGCATTCCCCACATTGCTACCTTGCAGTGCGGGGTTTTTTTTTCACCCCTGGAGATGTAATAAAAAAAATTAGAAACAAAGCCTCAGGACTATTTCTAGTCATGCCACGTGCCTTTATGTGTCAGTCTGGCAGTCATGAAAGCTGCACATTGGTTCTCACTGTGCAGGTTAACTCAGAATGTATGGTATCCGCATGAAGCAAATAGCATATCTGTCTGCTTTCTGCAGATTGCTGCCTCCTGAGCTAATGCACGTGTGTCAAATAGTGGTGTAAAATTAAATGCAAGTCATTTTGCATGTTAAGTTATCGTGCTAACAGAGAGCAAATTGCAAACTCTATAAACTCCCTAGACAACACTAACAATGGTTAGTATTGCTTCACAAAGCAATAGAGCATTATCTTACAAAGGCAAGCAAATGTATTTTAATATGTCAGAAGAGCGCTACAGGGAATTTCAGGTTTTATATTCATTCTGTTTATTAACAAAGCATTTCAAGCAGGGCCAGGTGAGCTAACATCCCATGCATTAAGCATATAATTTCTGTGTTGCAACAATATCATTTTCCAAAAGCTATTTCACGTGGTGCTGCTAGGGAACATCCTGATGGTTCTTTGTATTGAAATAATGGATTCTATAATATGTCTTTGTATATCAGAGTTCCTCCCATTAGACAAGAAGTTGCTAGATCTAGGATATTGGACCTGGAACCTCTGCTACAGGCCTCACTGAGCTGTTTCACCATAATTTCTCCTCCCATCTATTTGGAGTATGCAACTCTTGGGGGCAGGGACAGCCTTTTGATATGTACGTGCATATTCAGTGATGCTGGTTGGGACCTCTTGTCTGGTTCTTATGGAATATCATAGATTTGGACTGGGTCTAATTTCAGGGAAATAATGCAGGAAATGGAAAGTTCCTTTGCAATACACTTCTATTAATTGTTTCTGCACAGTGTTTCTTCCAGTGCACTTGGCAGATGATTTAACCTAAAGTTAGTGTGAGCTGTGATATTAGGGGCCTATCCTGCTTTCTGCACTGATTTGAGTAATCCTTATGCACAACAGCCTTGGTGAAAATACTCATGTGAGTAAGTGCCACAGGGTAAAGCTAATTAGAAACAGGCACATCTGAAAAAACAGTCTAAAAGCAGGTCTCTTTTTTTCTGGACTAGGACTCAGGACTGGGTTCAACTCCCTACTCTGCTACTGGCTTGCTGTGTGGCCTTATGTGGGTCTCTTCCTCCTTGCCCTTTCCCCCTTTATCTGTAAAATGGAGATAACAGTACTTCTGTGCATGCGTGCACATGCGCGTGTGTGAAGTGTTTTGAGAGCTGAAGATGCAAAGCACTCTGAAATAGCCAAGCGTATATTATCGTATGGTATACATGGCTTCCAGGGGGAGGTTGGGTTGCAAGGTCACCTTCAGTTATACCTATATCACCTCATTAATGCCAATAGTCTTGCATGGAGTAACGGAGAACAGGAATTGGCTGCAGAGTGTAGTCTGACTTTGATAATATTTCTTTCTCCTGATGCTATCAGAGAACCACAGGAGCTAAGGAGAGAAATGGACTGATCATGCAAGAAAACCAAGGCTACTGGCTATGTCCATGGGACAGATTTGCAAAGGTATTCAACCACTTAAAGATGTAAATTAGAGCCTAATGGGATTTTCAAAAGGTTTTGAAATTCACACTAAGCACCAATTTGCATCTTTAGGCATCTAGCAACCGTTGATAACCTGGCCCAGAGTACTTCCCACTGCATAAAGGAATCAAACCAAAAACCAGAGGGTTTCCTTTTACCTAATCTCTATTTTAGGTGGCAAAAGTACCATAATGACTAAAACATATACACCTTTCTAAAATGTTGACTTATGCTTTTATACATCCTGGACAAATTGTAAGAATTTGCTATGAATAGCTATGTTTTCCATTTCCCTTTCCATTTCTCTCGGGTGAGTAATCAGTTCACTGAACAGTATAAGCCAAAAGCAGACTCTTGGAGTCACAAAACTGGTCTCAGGTTTGATATATTCATAGGCCCCAGGTTCCCAGACATTGTACATATACATCTACACAGTAGGAGAGAATCCCTGTGCCTAGGAGCTCACATTCCAAATAGGAAAGGAAAAACTGGTCACATACGAAGGATCCATATCTAATTTGTTTTTAAAGATCTATCAGTCAGTGGCTAATCAACTCTTTAGTATTAGAATCCAGCAGCTTAAAAAATTACTTGCAGTACTGCTTATCCTCTGTAATAGGCTTTCTGATGCGTTTTAAACCATTTACTCCTCATATCTGTAATGAGCTCATAATAATGTTTTAACTTCCAGTTTCTAGAAAAGTGAAAGGTCTGTCCTGAGTCTATTTGCCCATCAGCTTATTTATGGACTAATCATAGATAGTGGTTAAGGTACACCAACTTCTGTAGCTTGGCACACTGAGGAATGATGAGGTAGCATCAGATCCAAGAGCTTTTGACTTCCCAGCCTGAATGGCCAAGTGCCATCCCGACGCAACACTTGGAGTGCAGCCTTCAGCAGAAGTGAAGAGCAAGACTTGAATTCACAGCTATGGTTCTGCAGCAAGACAGTCTAACCACTGTGCCATCTAACCTGTACAGCACCTTAATAAAAATGTCTAAAATATTATCCCTATTTAACTGCTAGAATACCGAGGCACAGAACTATGGCCCAGAATGTCAGAGGCAATTTTGTTTTCCCATTGAAAGCAAAGATCAGCACCTAGATGTTTTTGATCCAAGTCTAAGTGACTTGCCCATGCTCATTCACAAAAGCCTGCAGAGGAACGAAGAACTCATGAGTCTTCACCTAGCATCCTACCAACAAGGCCATCCATCCTTTCCATTGTGACCATCTGGCATTCACAGTGAGAGACGAGCAGAATTATCAACATGACAGTCTATCACACCGAGAGCAGAATTCTACCCACAGCATAGATTCAAAGGGCCAACCACTGAGTGGAACTGCTGAGCATCTTCCATTCCAGTTAAGATGAAAGTTACAGATGCTCAGTACTGCTCAGGATTCATCTCA